GTTAAAGAAATAATAATAAAGATTGTAAAAGACTTAACTTCAAAATCAAATCAACCAACCCTCTCTGGCCAAGCGTGTTTGACTATGGCCTAGTCACCTCTAACTTAGGACGCTCCGAGCCCCTGATGATGAACAAGACTTATTATAAACATAGAACTTAGTTAGAATTATACACAAAATTAACAAAAATGTACTAATGAATATTCGCAAGGGTAGGACAAGGTGGGGCGTCAGCTCATGGGCATAAGGGGGCACCGCAGGCGCTAGAGTCAGTTGCCAGTGGTATCCCCAAGATACCCTATCTTTGGCAGATTGTTCAAGTCACCAAAAAAAAGAGGGCGCCTTAAAAATCTCGCCCAGGGCGCTGAAAAAACTAAAACCATCCTTGCTTAAATATATTGTTAACAAAAACAATTGAATGCTTCTAGGAAGATTTCACCCCCATCAACTTGGAGGTTTCACGTATAAAAATACGATTTACATGAATAATTTTGTTTGACTTAATCACTGGGCACGTGGTGATCTAATTGACTATTAAATAGACGATGACACCGTCACCAGAACTCAGGTTTCTCGAGTACTGTGAAATTTAATGAGGGCGCAACGACACGAGGCGACGCTTAGCTTTTTTAGAAAACGACAACCACGAACAGGTCTTGTACTAGATCGCCAACGATACGCATGACCCATAGCAATGTTGATATTAATGCAACATAGATTTTCTACTTCGATCAGATAACACAATTAATACGCCTATCCAATTAGGGTCCGAATATTGTAAACAAAAGACACGACAGAAAGTTGGTTTTCTCAATTTCGACAATTCCAAAATTGTACTAAAAAGTTGGTAGAATTCTTATAAGTATTCCGATTGTAACTAATAAATATATCTAAGACAATAAAGCTGGCTACACACGTTCAATTTTAAATGAACAGTCGGATGGTTTACTTAATTACGTGAATTGAACTTATTCACTTATCAGTTTTTGCTTCACACGTACGCTTTAAATGAACAGAACTGTTCTGTTAAAATTGAACGTATTTAGCGAGATTAAAATATAATATAAAGTAATTATCAATTAATAGTTTAAGACATAATTAAAAATCCTTTGGCGCGAATGACGTGCTTCCGTTACAAAGTCCAGTGTCAGAATGAATAGTGAGGAGACACAAACGTCGATATTTTAGTAAGGCTAGTGTTAGGTCAACACAGCCACATTTTCGGATTTTCTTCCTAACAATAGATACGAGTATTTCAAGCTATCTCGAATTTAATCCATTTTTTATTTATTCAAACCTTATACAATTAAGTTTGTTCGTTCGAGTTCATTGTGCATGACAATACCATAAATCTTACTGCCGTGTTCTGCTAAACTGTTCACTTTCACACATCACAACAAATACAATTGTGGTTGTTCGTATTCACTTACTCGATACGATTCAGTGAATATTTTATCATTTAACATATTAAGTTGGTATATCGTTTAACATAATCATCGGACTATGACTTAATTATCACAGTTTTGTTTCACCGCTGCACATAGTATTATTTACACTGACAACTGTTTAACACAGTCTTCTTGCTGGGAATATTTATGGAGATGTAAACAAGTGTTCTCCAAAGTGGACCTGTAACCCCCTGGGGTCCACGTAAGATCCGAATGGAGTGTAGAGTCATCTGCAAAAATATCTATAGATTGTTACTTATTTATTGCCTACTTAATCTTACTAATATTATAAATGCGAATGTTTAGATGGATGGATGGATGTTTCTTTGAAGGTATATCCGAAACCGCTCAATGGATCTTTATGAAATTTGGCACAGATATAGAACATAATCTGGAAAAACATATAGGCTACTAATTAAGTTTTTTTTTTCAATCCGTGCGCAGGGAGCGTCAGCTATATTAGAATCACTATTAAGCAGAACAAACTGGAGTGAAACCGTTTATTCTATTTCTTAAATGCGATAAATTCCGTAGGATTAATAAATTTCAATAACCTCAAAACAGTTGTGGTATAAAATATTAAAATGTTCGTGTTCGCACGTGCTGTTTTTTTAGAAAATAAACGTATGCTAAACGGAATATGTATCGTCTTTCAAGCGAGTCCGCCTAACTTGTAACTTAAGCTGGGTACGGCGATGAAGCTAACGTCAACGGTTTGGCAAATAACATGATGGCTATCTTTATTTTAGTAGCTTTTTTATCTAAACTTTTTGACCGCTTTTGATCGAGACATGACAATAACGCTAAGTACCACCCTAATCGAACTGACAACGTCGGTCCAGCACCGGGCTGTAACTTTTAAATTCTTTTACGCCAGTGAAAAAAGGTAGGCGCTCCAGGGCCGTATTAACATTAACTAGCTACTTTTATATAGAAAATTTCATCAACACAAAAAAACAAATTCGTCTTCGTTCTATAACAAACTTAAAGATTGTAATCTGTTAAATCTTATATCTCATAAAAGCAGGAAGTAAAGGAAGATTCTTGTTGTAATAAATTTATTTCATTATTTACTATTTACGATTTTAAATAATAATTATTTCCGTAGTCTATCGTTTCAATTTTATATTTTTAATAGAAATTTAATTTAATCTTAGTATGTCACATCTGACAAATTTCGCTGAAACTTGGCGTAGTTGTAAAACGTTTAAGAACGCATAGGCTATTAAGTTTTTTTTAACCGGCGTGGACAGTGTTGAGGGCGCCAGCTAGTATCTTAAGACTTGGACATACTTAGTACAAAAACTAAACATAATAAGCAGCTAATAATGTCATAATAATACTTATTCACTTCTGTCACGTTACTCGTCATAGTTGTTTTCTAAGGAAGTCGTAAAATTTTATACTATTGCTACAAATGACAAAAAAAATGAACACTACAATTAGCAACAGAGAATACGGCCCTGGCTGACAGGTTTGCAACAATGTTGCTCTCGAGTAATTGTTTTATTTGTTTCTTTTGGTGTTGCGAGCGAACGATCCGGTCCGATATGCCGCCGTATTACATTGGCCCAGTGACCGATATCGCTTCAACGATTTATCTCCAATATATCGAATATCTTAAATTGGAACATAATAATGATAGAATAATGCAAAGAACTAGCCCCTAAATTATAGAATATGACGCATAAATAAACATATTTGTCTACGAGTTTGTCACCCGCGACTTCGTCCGCGCGGAATTAAAAAAAAATATTAAGTAGCCTATGTGTTATTCCACACTATGCCAAATTTCATAAAGATCCATTAAGCCGTTCCGGAGATACATACAAACAAACATCCATACATCTAAACTTTCGTATTTATAATATTAGTAAGATGTGTGGGTTCGATAAAATTTCTCAAAAAGGAGGGGATTCTTACAGATATTTATGTGTTTAATCCATTAAGTTTCTTAAATGATTATTGCGAAAATATATATATATATATATATATAATATACAAGTAAAAAAAATGTTGATATATATATATATATATATATCAACATTTTTTTTACTTGTGCTTTTACTTTTTTTAACTGTCGTTTCCTTTCAGTATATCTAATTATGGTTTTCATTTCGAAAAAAATAATTAATTAAATCAAAAGATAAATAATAACATACGTCAAGTGCCAATAGTCGTCAATACGACTATAGTGATGTATGAACTTATTACAGGGAGGTAACCGCTTGCAAAAAAACGATTCGTTTCTTTGACTACTGGCGCGTTCTAGACAATTTATTGACATCAACTCGTTTTATACTAGAAGTGACTGAGTTTTTATATTTATCTTAAGTTGGTACTCAGGTAATCTAGGCAAGGTCTACTCCGGCAAATGATAATCTGAGTTTTAGGTTTTGTTTCGTGACTTGCACTTTGGAGACAATTTAAACAAGTATAATTAGCCTTGTTTCTATTCTTTTTTGTTTGGAATAAAAAATGAATACTTGGAAACTCTTTAAGCTTAATAATAAACATAATTTAAAATGCTTGATAAATTAATTTGCTTGTGTTCTTAAGTGTTACTTAAGGGTTCCGCCGCTGTGATATTTGTAAAGACATATTATAAATTCTTCTCTCATCTCAAAGAAAACGTGAGTGTTGACGTTATTTAGCAATTGTCACTGCAATTAAAACATAGGATTAAATTTGACAAACCCAGTATGTTTGGAATGTATTCGTTGAAATTGGTCATTATTATAAAAGTCGCGTTGTACGCTTGGTCAATGTCACTTCCAGCAAGATGTCAATTGTGCTCCATGTAACGGACACGCTTCGAAGTAAAGGTCTCGTTTAAAAATTGCATACATAATTATAACTAATTAAAAAATTACCTACACTTCTTACTGCCACATGGTATAATGAATACTTGATATCTAATGATAATTTATAAATAACAGACATCGCCGACATTTAAGCTTAATGTATTACTCAGAATCGCTAATTATAACTCGGAGTCACTCTTAGTGACCAATGACTTATAAATTCGAGCGCGAAAGTTGACGGCTTATAAGCGAAATGTAATATTTTTTCGTATGCCAATTATATATATATATATATAATTTAGCTGTCGCCCGCGACTCCGTCCGCGCGGGATTAAAAATAGATGTTGGCCGATTCTCAGACCTACTCAATATGCTCACAAAATTTCATCAGAATCGGTCAAGCCGTTTCGGAGGAGTATGGGAACGAAAATTGTGAAACGAGAATTTTATATATAAGATATATTACGACAATGGACTGCAGGCTCAGCGTGTACCGCATGGCGTGGCCATGCGGAGCTGGTTTTCAGCCTGACCCGGTGGGCCACATTATGCTCGTTCAGAGGTGCCCATCAGCACGTTCGATCATATATCGTATTGTCTTTGCTACTCTCTATTCGTCTCTGTATCTTGGTAAAATTATAAGTAGTTGTTCAACAATTTGGAAGACTATACATCACCTTAATTAAGAAGTTGTTTATCGAAATGTTGTTGAATGTAAATTGATTGTTTATGTGTTTTTAATTTTCAGGCGGCGCCCGATCCCACCGATCCCCCGTCGACTTCAAATGCGGCGGAAGGTGCCGACGACTCCTAAACGGGGCCGCTCCCGGCGCGTGTGGGACAACCTTACGCACCACTGTGACAGCACACTTACGCGACAGTGTGGCATCACCTTTACGCGCGAGTGTGATACCACCCTTACGCGCGAGTGTGAAACCACCCTTGTGTGCGAATTCCGGACTACAAAATACCATAGTGTTAGATCTGTATAGACATACAATCATTTTTGTATATATGTTACGTGTAATTAATTACGGGATTTACTTAGTACCTAATTGTTTTAATTTTTTTTGTCTATTTTTAACGAAGTCGAATTACACAAATAGATTGAGGTAAAAAAATGTTTGAAGGTGTTTTGTACTTTTTGTTTAACAACATTGTCATGGAAATCCAACGTTGTTTCATATTGCATGTATTTAGTTTTGGAATATCTGTGAAAACAGAATAGATTAAGGTCTCTGACACACTGAAGTGAATAGGAATCGGAAACGAAGCGAATCTGATTTTGATATGAACATAGCACGTAAAAGGTTTATCTTAAGCGAACAATCTAACTATATCATTTTAGCGCAAAACCGAATCTATTATGAAGCACTAAAATGGAGTAGGTATTGTTCTCCATTTTTCAATTATTTTCATGTCTTTCGTATAAAGCTTCGATTCCGGTTAGCTTTCAGTGTGTTATAGGCCTTATTTTTCCGTTTGGCGATAAAACGCTACTGGAAAACAGACCTTAAGTTATAACACATTTATAGCGAATGAACATTTTATTTTGCACCCCATACATTGCCTGTGAACTATAATACATTATTTAAATTTGCATACAATAACATCAATGTATTCGGTAAATGACGATAGATTCGTTGGTATTATTCCGATGTGTATCGAAGGATAATCGTGATCCTGTTTCACTTAAAAAAGATAGGCTGCATGTGATTGTACAATAAAGAAATGGTGACATTTGAATGCATGCAATTTGTTTGCAATTTTTTTTTATTTTGTAACACACGACACGTTTAATCGTACGACACAAAAACTCCACAGTAACTTTTAATATGAGTTTCTACTGCGGTAAAATATTGCTATTTCCTTTGTTTTAGAAAGAATGAATCGGATGACAATATATGTTGAGATAAATAATACTAGTTGATGTCTGCGACTCCGTCCGCGCTGAATGAAAAAAAAAACATAATTAGTAGCTTATCGTGTTCTTTGAAAGTTTCTTCTACATACAAATTTTATCGAGATCCATACAGCCGTTTTGGAGATACCTTCTCATAAACATCCATCCATCCAAACATTCGCATTTATAATATTAGTAATTTTCATTGCCTTACAACATCATTTAATGTCTTTAACTTTAGAAAATCTTTGTTTAAATTAATCACACAAATCTATTAGTAATAACTCTGTGGTTACATAAAGGGGGGAAGTAGAAATTATTCAGGTAAGTTTTTTAAAATTTGTCTCATTCTATTGAATTCGACTATAGTTGTTTTGAAACCGATTATACATCGAAGGGAAGATCTAGTAATGCCAACCCTACGTGAATGATACGTCACGCTCGATACAAACGATATAAGGTTTCGTACCTGGCCATTGATAAAATCATTGGTTTAATTAAAAGCCATTATCGAAAAAGAAAAGAGAAAAAAAATTAAATATGACTTCATTATTTTTATGTTATCCTGGTAGTCAAGCAATCAAGACTTATTTTTTTAAACAGACAAACCTAATCTATGTTTTTAAATATATTATATAAAAATTATGTTGTATTAAAAATGGGATTCGGATAAATAGCTTGGAAATATTTCAAGCCTATAAGGTTAACAAAAATTTATAGCCTAACCAAGAAAATGATCCTGGCTTGGGGGATTTTCTTTTTTATAACATCGCTTTTTAATATGTGTAAAAAAATTGGTTCCTTTTTTCCGCAATATGGCGAGGGTTTCCTAAAAAGAAGCGTTAGGCTATGTGTCTTACTTAAAAAGAGTTTTATATGTTGAAATTCATTTGACCTTGATGTTCAACTGTCGAAGCACCCGTACTCAAATATACGCCTATCACTGTTTTTTTCAAAGAGAATAAAAAGGACGCCAATATGTTTTATTACGAAATATAATCATATTTTTTTTTTATTTAAAATATTAGCAGATTTTTTTGTAAATTTACTAATATTTCTTTTGGCATTCCAACTAAGCTCTAGGCTTGTGCTAAGATATGGTTTACGACAATAGTCGAATGGCGGGATTCGAACCCCCGACCTCGTGATCGGAAGTCCATACCCTTAACCATTAGGCTATTGACGCTTTTAATTACGCTTATTTGTTCCCTAATTGTTATTATATTTTTACCAATAATTGTTTATTGTATAATAATTCGATAAAACTATTAGTTCTCGTTTGCACATGCGCGACCGGGCGGAGCGATATCGGTTCCGCCCTTATGTAATTTGATATAAAGCTTACACAAGGTTATTTTGTGGGTAATCCTTGACTAACAGGCCCTTTTTATACCTAAAATTTATTCCCTTTGAATACACTATGTTGTATCCCATGTTTTAAGTTCTTGTAAAATTGTTTCACGTAATTGAATTTTGTAAATTGTTGAAGGAATATATTAAACCACAGGCCTTATGGAAGAAACATCTACACTTATTTCGATTTGAAATCTAAATAATAAAAAAATCGATAGTAAATGTAACGTGGGGGTTTGTTAAGAATATTATAAATTAAACTGATTTATACTTTTCAATAATGATTAACCAAGACTACACAACATTATCAATATTAATTAAAAACTAAAATATTTTTATAATTATTTCAAATTTAAGCATCGCTATTTCTCTATCGTACAAAATAAGAATCATTCAAATGCGATGTTACTAATATTATAATATTAATGCGAATGTTTAGATGTATAGAAGTTTGTTTGAAGCTATCTCCAGAACGGCTGGATAGATCTCGTTGAAATTTGGCATACATGTAGAATATAGTCTGGAAGAACACATAGGCTATTAATATAGTTTTTTATTAACACCGCGCGGACAGAATCGCAGGTCACAGCTAGTTTTATTAAAAGTAATAGGCACTTACTAAGCCAGCGCGTACCATCTTTCGACCAAATTTCCACTCACACCAGGTGGGATAGTTGTCAAGCGCTGGCTTGTAACGTAAAAAAAGTAAATTATGGTAGATAATGACTCTACGTTATGCACCGAATACTGACAGATTTGAAGATGAAAATACTTTTTTTTTGCTGAATAATTCAAAAATATACAAAGAAATATTGATAATGAAAAACCAATTATTTTAACTAGCAAACAGGGAAGAGGTAGTTGCACTAGGGAAGTGAAAAAATATAAAGTAGATATATAAACTACTTACAAATACTAAGATAATTCTAAATCCCTACAAATCAAAGTAAATAACTCAAAAACTACGTTTCAGATTTTTTATTACCTAGGTAACAAGTTACTATCTAATGAAAATATTTTTACCCGCCCCCTAAAATCTAGTAGATAATGGTGGATTTTAAACAATTTTGTAATTTTCAAATCCTTTTTGTTAGTGGTTTAATAGTTTTCTAAATTAATATGAAAAATTGATCTCATCAGATTAAAATCGATTAATATTTGATAAAAGGTAAATTTAACACGTTAGCTGCCATGTCGGACTATATGTCCGACAAGCTAATGTTTCAATCAGGCCGTGTCAGACTATGTGTCCGACAAGCCATACTTCCATTCATATGTAAATAATAAGTATATGAGCAATGTAAATAAGGTATTACTATATTTTTAGGTGATTTCAAACGGTTTTGGACAAAATTAAAAAAAATATATTCGTTTTTCGAAAAATCATTCTGGCAGCTAACGTGTTAATATTGATGTAGAATTTGTAATTAAGTGTTGTCGCCAGTAATTATTTAAACAATATAACATAAAAGTAACTTTTGAGGCGTTATGACGAAAAAAAAAATCACCAAGTAAATTGTTTTTATATAGCCCCAGTGAGTGATGTTATACTTATTTGTTAAAATGTAAAATTAAATCAATATTATAGAGGACTTACAAAAAGAACCAGTTTGTAGCCATTATGATAAAACGAAACAAAAGCAAATGAGAAAAGAAGATTCACGTAAGTTTAGAACAAACGATTTCTGCGTTTCGGTACAACAACGCCCCCATGTAATTTAAAACATAAGGTAAATTAATATTAAGTAAATACGTCCTTGTTTGAGAAAATTGCGTCTACATCATAACGAGCCCAATAACAGAGCGAAGGGTCTATCATGAATATTTGCGATATGCATTTTCGTAATCAACAAAACATGTCAAATTTGTACGAGATTTTTCATTGTACTTTACGTCCAATACAAATAAAAATCTTATACTATAGATAATTTTATCACAAGTTTTCGTGATAGGCCCTCAGTAGTAAATATACTTTACATTGTATATCCAATTAAAATAATAAGAAATATAATTTTTGATGTTTTATAATAGTTATTTTATATTAATAATAAGCTTGTAAATATTTTGTACATAAAATTATAACGGTTAATACATTTAAGGACGTGGTTAGTTAATTTTACAATGTCCATAATTAGTCATAGTTTCTGGATCTATATTACTTAAGACATGAATAAACTTTTATATTATGTAATACATAACATATACTATACATATATAGTTCTAGATATAATATTGGAAAAATGAATGATTATTTAAATTTCGTTTTTTTTTAATTTTTCAAAAATATAATTTCAAATTCACACGACAAAATGTTTTAATTATTCGTTTGAATTATTCATTAACTTAATCTATGTTTAAAAATCGTGATTGAATCCTAATAATTATAAGATGTAGTGATCGTGTTATAGTGAATTCACTATTTAATTATTTGTTGTAAAATATTAGATTAAGACCTATAGTGTGATTTTCCCGCCCGTTTGAATAAAAACAAGTTCTCTTGAATGTGAATCTTTAAAGGATTGCAAAATCGGAACTCCCTAAGTAAAATAACACAGAAGTTAATAAAAAAAATATAGGGTGTCCCAAAAGGTTACGTACATAGGAAGGGGGATGATAGGGGTGGTCACAAGGGTCACCAGAAAAATACAATAAAAATTCCCCTATGGGTATTAAAAAAAAATTAAAAAACTTAAAAATTTTACACCTTCTGGGGCAATTTTAATTTTCTTTAAAAACTTTGTTAGTTGTATCGTTTTTTTTTATTTCATATTGATAAAGGGTTATTGACGATAACATAATAGCTTTTTTTTAATATAGCTATATTTGTAGGTCATCGGTTACAAAATTGCCCCAGAAGGTGTAAAATTTTTAAGTTTTTAAATAATGCCATTTATTTTTTTTAATACCCAGAGGGGAATTTTTATTTATTTTTTCTGGTGACCCTTGTGACCACCCCTATCATCCCCCTTCCTATGTACGTAACCCTGTAAAACAATCAAACAAATAATCCTTTACTAAATTGTAGTAATTTTTTATTTGTTAGAAATTGTATTAACGTCATTTAATTCGCTACATGATTTTATACAGTTGGTTTTCGAAACCAAAAGCTTTGTATAAAACATATCGTCATCCTTGTCATTATCTTTGACAAAACAGAGATAACAATAAGTTTTAAACGAAGATTTTGATCTCAGAAACCCACGATAAGTCTAGTTTTCGTATACAGCAATTAATTTTACTTGTTGGGAGTTATAACACTAAAGTTTGATAAATTAAGCATACAAAATGTTCAAGTTCTTTCTAATATTTGAAGTAGTAGAAAAATGCATCGCAAAATCATTATGCGGTTAAAAAAACCAAAGTTCTTTAATTAATATATAGCCGCTTAATTTTGTCCATTAACCATATATTTTAGGTGCTTCCGTCACAAAAAAAACAACGAATTCCTTCCAAAGAGGTTGGCATTAGGTGTTTATACTGTCACTTTAAAAAATGCAACAGTCAGGTCATAGACTGTCAAGTTTTGACAAATCAATAATCCCTTTTAATATTATAATCTGTATTCATTTTCCTTGTAAAGTATGACAAACTAATCTGGGCCGGTAAGAGGCTCTACTACCGTATTTAGTTATGTCAGAACATATTTAAATTTACATAGACATAGGTAAACAACTATAGCGCGACAAGGATGTTGTTATACTTTTTGACGTTCACAGGATGGCGCTAGTGAGCTGTCATAATTTAGTTTGACTGCACACCATCGGGTCTAGATAACTTTGTTGGTATATGTCTCATTTCTGTTATAAAGTATGTTAAAACTATTTATACATAGAATATTATATACAAGACAAGATATAAGAACACGGCTACTAGACAAGCGACATCTTGTGGCATATTGAAATTGTCAGAGGGGCGCTGGTGTTGTAAATTACACTAATGTATACCGGGTCAGTGAAGTTTGTCGATCTGTTGTAGCAAATAAGAGTCAGTACTAGCACATAAAATAAATTTAAGCGACGATACATCACATTCACTTTTTAACAAATTGTAATATAAATTATATTTTAATTCTAGGTTTAATTTATCTCATATTTTATAGATAAAGGTCTACTGGGTCATACAAACATCGATAAATTGCACTGGACAAAAAATTATAAATAAAGTTTAAAGGAATGTTCTTTTGATTAAATTAACATATTTTAATAAATCTACAGATAAATTAGTACAGTTTTAGTACAGATTTGTAATATAATATGTACATATATAATCATAAATAACAAATATCAACCTAATTGTAAAAACTATATTCAAGGAATAATGTCCTTTACTTTTATCTGTAACGCCCAGGTCTCTCAATAAAGTCTTGTTTAGTTTCTTAAAAGCATTCAATAAATATTAATGCCTTGCTTTAATTGTATAATAGAGTGGAAAAAATCAAATTTAATTCAAAAGACATCAAATCTAATTTTGTGTCTTACGAAATTAAGTTCAGCTTTTTGGTCATCGAATTGGAACGTTACCATCTAAAATCGAATTTTATTTTTAATTTGCAAATGAAAAATTATAATTGCCAGTATGAATGGAAAATAAAATAATAAACCTTTCGGACTCGTAATTAATATAAAATTTAAAACAGATTCATTTCTGTTAATAATTCTAAAACAATTAAAGCAAAGCAAATTAAAAAAACATGTATCCTATTTATTAAACTCCAAAACTCACTACAATCAACATATTTTTAATAACCAGCTAGAATTTGCGCGGCAAATAGTCGTGAATGTGACATTTAAGATTTATTAACTATTGTCAAAATAAAGAATTTCAATGACTGCCGTTTTGTATCATTTTATCACTAAAAAAAACAAAGGGCCTTCTTGCAAAGTGAAGCTTTGCTATTAACAAACCTCGTACTATTTAAAAAAAATAAGGGGACAACTAAGAATAAGTTCTCTAATGTCGTATTTTACATGCAAAACAAATGAGTATTATTTTTAAAGGGGATGATTGATCCATGTGCCGGTACTAGTGAAAGGCCAAGGTCTAGCAATAGACCTGTTTGATGATAACAAATACCATACTAGGGGTGTAACCATTTAGAACTCTAGATCCTATTCCTAAGTAACTAACTTGTTTTACTTGAAATGAGTATGAATTGCGTAAAAAGTATATATCCAAATATTACTGAAAGGCAATTGACAGATACTTAAGCATGACATGCCATCTAGTTAGTACAATCCAAACTAAATAACTATAATACTTGATGCATATTCCTTCTACTAATGGCCATATTTAACGCTAGGTGGCTCTTTAGTATTCAATTAATTCAATATAAATAGGTAAAATCATTATTTACTATCAAATAATATTACTGACGGGGTAATTTAAATGGTTGAAAGTTTAATAAATAGTTTAAAGAAAAAAAATAATTTACAAAGCGATAACCTTAACATTATTTTGGGCAACGGAACAACGACATTACATTCGTTGACAATTGTTGACTTTGACAGCATTCGTGTTTTCGAAATGATGGATGGGATATTTTTAAGCTTTTTTATTTGAATAATAGAGAATATTAATTTCTTTTTACGCCTTATTGGAAGTCATTGTCGCAAGCATTCTAATTATCACAGTGAGAGAAAATTATAAACTTTACAATTGATCATGTTCAAAAAATAACGTGATAAGTTTTAAAAACCAATTGATTTTTAAATTCATAAAGTATGGCTGTTGCTGTATCAAATATTGATAGCGCAATTATTAAATACGAAAACTTCATCAATAACGTTTTAAAAGAAAGTCTTCGTTTGCATGATCAATATTTACAAAAAGTGAATGAAGAAATATCAGAATTAGTTCAAGAGAAACATACACTAAAAGTGATTACCGACGAGAAGCTTCATCCGAATGGTTTCAAAACTAAAGTAGACATCGGATGCAACTTTTTCATGGAGGCCTTTGTTCCTGATACATCTAAACTATTAATGCACATTGGTTTAAAACACTATATGGAATTTACTGTAAGTGAAGCAAATACCTACATAGATGCAAGAATAAAGGTATATGAAGCCAAAGCCGAAGAAATAAAGAAAAAAATTTATACAACTAAAGCACATATAAAGTTAATGTTATTTGGTGTCCAACAGTTGCTAAATGCAAAAAATGAAGGTAATACTTAAGTGCTGGATTATCATGTAACTGTTTAATTAAGTGTAAATGTTTCATTTGTTCTGAAAATTGTATATTGTAGTGAGTTGGTTGAAAGCACTCAATTTGTAGGTGTCTGCTGATCTCTGCGGTTAGATGAAGGTATCTAAAATTGTATTTGATGCAACCTCTTAAGTGATATTTCAAGCTGCTATAAAATTTGGATATCACTTACTTTTGTAATTTAAAAGAAATTGCGATATAAGGTACATAATTTCTATATTCCTCTCGAAGTTGTTACAATAGTTTTCATGTAACAAGTGTTAAAAAAATATAACATTACAAGTATAATATTTGTGAATTTTTAATGAAGTTACAGTTTCTTAGTTTAGTCATAGGTAACTCAACTAAAATTCATGACCTACAAATCAGCTCAGTACTGATGTGTCAAGCAAATCAGTAAACTGATTCGGAGCTCAGCACAGAGTTATGATTTGCATTTCAAGCTGCAAACTGTAAGTCAACAGGAAGCATGTGGCTTCTCTGTTTACATAGTTGTAATATATTGTGAGTTGCCAATTTAGTTGTAGAGCCGTAGCTCGGGTCAAGTATTTGTGACCTTAACATTTCAATGGACCTCATTAAATATAGAAAAAAGGTATGTTGACCTACAAAGGTTTGACATTCCTGAACTTACTTAAACTGTAATGTTATAACTGTGCTAAACTATTATAAGAAAAAAAATATTAAGTAAATTCAGTTCAAGAATCAATATTTCAAATTAATGAACTTAATCTAATTGTATGTAAAATATGTCTTTTCAATTAAATAGCATAAAACCATGATAAATATAAGATGATGTTTTTCTAGGATTAATAACCCAGGACTAAATGTAGCGTAAAAATGTTTGGTAAAATTATATGAAAATATTACATTTTTAACCATCTATTTATCTAAATGTTTACAATGATTATATGAATATAACATGTCTTTTGTATTTTATGTGTAAAAAATAAAGAACCGTATGTCTTGAAAGTTTTTCTTTCGTCTACTTAATTAATTTTGATTTTTTTTGTGACAAATGTGAAATGATCCTAGAAGTCATAGTCTATAATCCGATTTCATTATATATAAGACATTTTTATCATACGTAATCGTTCTTAGGTATAAATCCATATTTTACAGATGTTCATTTAATTACAATTTATTAAAAAATTTCACTATCCAAAGCGAAATACAAAATAAGATACGCAAATACACTGTATTGCGATGCTAATTTTATTCAAGTCCTTTTAGTACAATCGGGTTAGATTGCCCTTCGCATCTCAGGGCCAATATTCAAATTACCCCTAATCATTCTCTTAGAGCTTAGAACAGCACCTTTCAAGTAGATTTCTGTGCTCGATTGAATTCTTGAGAACACTTTAACGAGTGTAATTGGCGTCGTAAGCTATTCAGCCCATTAATCAATTTCCTTGTTATCTGCTTAGATGATTGAAGTCCTAATGGGTAATCGACAAGAACTCTTACAAAGGTAAGTAGCGTAAATTAATTAAGAATCTTCAATTAACACCTTTTGAATTGGCCCATCGTAGTTTATATGTATTAGGAAGTAAATTGTTTTATGAAGTTCGATTATTTAGCAGATTCTGCAATACTTTTCTGCAACTAGGGTTAACATTGAAATTAAAGTTTATGACATGTATTTAATATATAAATGAAGATGTAAACACGTTAAGATTTAGGTTGACTATTCTCTATACAAAATATATTCACTGGCTTTTAACATCACTACGGTAACGCCATCTATCGTTAAATGGGAACAATTCGACAAAGGCGGCCACATTGTTAGTTAGGCCAAGTTTATGTTGATTCCGTTAGATGTCGTTTTTCGATCGCCCAAAACTAAAAAAATATTAATTTTTATTTTATTTTGTATGTCTTATTACATGTAATTATGTTTATGTGTTAATATTTCGTGGTTACATTATATAAGGGGCATTTTTATTTTGGTGTTCTCGCAAAAGTGCTTGATTTTCGCGTAAGCACAGTTTCGAGTATTTTTGAATTAACGTACAGAACAGTCATCTTAAATCGTCAATTCGTGTGATGTGTTTATAGACATTAACTGATTTAACTAACAATCTAAAGGAAAATGATGTAAATAATCGCGCAGCAAAAATGTTCTTAACTTACTGTGGGTTTCTGGTACCAAAATCTCTGTATAATCGTCATCCCTGTACTTCATGTTTGACAATAGAGAGATAACAATATTTTTAAAAGAATTTGGTCGCAGAAACCCAAGGTTAGTGACTGTCACTTGCCAGTGTTGGGACTCCTGCATCCAACCTGCATGTAGTGGACGGAGCATCGGGCGGGTATAATTTTTTCTATTTATATTGTTAAAGTATATAACCTTTTACTTTAACCTTAACTAATTTTATGAGGAAATTTCATGTAAGGTTATATTTAGCAACTGATTTGTAATTTACGAAATTTTAAAGTAAAAGGTGTATAGTTTGTCTAGATAGACAAGTGAATTGGTCAATCAATTGTCAATTGACCAATTCACTTGCGATTTATTTGGAAACTCGCGCTTCTGGGTAATGTTCTAGAAGCTTTTATTTTTGAACTAGTTGTCGCCCGCGACTCCGTCTCCGCGACTCTCACAGACTATGTTTTACATCTGTGCCAAATTACATCAAGATCCCTTCAAACTTTGGCATTTATTTTAGTAAGATTTCTCTTTGTAGAATGGGGTAAGGTGAACATAAAATAAAACACCATAATCAAATAAAAGCTTAGCTTTATTACTCGTTATATCCACGAAGAAACATCCCTCTGCCATGCTATGAACAACACCGTGCTGACCTTGCTAGTTCACAGATACACCTCATGTTTCACCGTAGTTCAGTGTTCGATCTAATAATTTTGATTTAACATATTTTAGAATCGCCAATTTTATGCCAATGTTTGAACGACTCCCAAACCTTACACTGTTCAAACGGCATTTACTTTAAATTTTGTTACAATGATTTTCTTTACAATTCCACAATAAACCCACTTTTATTTCTAATACATCGAACAGTGGTTAGATCCTAAACATTCACGGACAAAGACACACGCTCGTAAATTATAAGCATTATGACAATGTGATAATATTAAATGTATAAGTATTGTTCTATTAATAAGAACAGTAATAATTAATGCGTAGTTAGGTTAGGTTAGTTTTGGTGACATTAGGTATCATTTGCCTGAGGCCCACAGATTACAATAGTGCTTCGCTAGCAGCCATTCTTAGACAAATACCGAGGAATCGTTTACATTATTTTTTCCCACTTTTCACCTTAAAATTGCCTTTAAATTTATCTTTTTTACATCCAGAACCATATAAACATCTTTTAGTTATTTATAATATTTTTTTTATCTATATAACCGGTCGACAGCAGCGCCGCCCCGCGTCAGCTCCGGTAAACTTTTTATTTACAAATGGTTAATGCTCCTAAACGTTTAATATCCAATACTATTCTTAAAATTAAATACAAAAAACGCATGACATCCTAAAATTACCTAATGCTCATTCTCGTCATCGCTATAATTTATGAAATTTTGATTTTTACACCAACTTTTAGCAATATTCAATACAAAAATACTCTTTTGAATAAAATTTTTACAAGACTCATTTATATCGTCGGTGCTGACAGGGGGCGGTGGTGCGGGCGCCTCGAAAGAAAAGCTTTGAGCCTCGTAACCTTAACATCATGAAATTTGTACTAAATATATCGAAACAAGCGGACGCGGGCCCTAATTACTTAGCCGAAATGCGAGGATATCGAAAGGAACGCCTAAATACTAGAATTTAGTTAATTTCAATTGTCGACCTTTCTCCTACAGCGCGGGACACGTGGCTATATCACACCACGGCCCGGGCAGAAGGAACGATCGCTTACAAAATGTAATTTTGAATTTTTAAATTTTGCTTATAATTTTTTATCACCGGCGACCGCGTCCGCTCGCTGTAATTTACAAATATATTATACGAACTGGCACCACAGAGGACTGCGATTTGCCCACAACTAAAACAACATAATAACACATCTTAACGTACAAACACACAAGAATACAAAATGAACGCGTATCGCTGTTACGAGTGAAGACCACAAGGATATTGAAAATATTCTTTTATCCGCTACTGGTTACTTTGGAATACAAAATGTCCGCGCACGGCGCAGCGGCTCAGTTACTTAATATTAGTTACATCGTCGGCAGTATTTGTTTCGACTTCCTAATAGTAAATCCGTGCTCACTTTCGATATTCCAATTATTAAATATCATTATCGAACGGTACTTATCTTGTAACTAACTAGTTTTTTCAGCATTTCACTTATTTGATTTTTTTTTTCTCACATATAGAAAAGTCGATACAACTATATTGGTACATCTAAATTGTTTTCTAAATTCCAAAACGAAATACTACATACAATAGAGTCTATTACAATTTCGAAAAATTTAGGAACCATAATACCCGAACGTGAAACCAAATATATTTCTACATATATTGATTCTTTTTTTTTCTTGTTTATAATTTTGAAAAATAATTAGATATTTTTTAGTAAATCGACGATTCAAACGTTTCATAGACGGATTCGAAAAATACTAATAAAAAGGAAACGTCAGCGAATCTCATGGAACAGAAATAAACTATCGCCTACTTACATAATGCCAAACGATAAAATATCACTTCGCCGAAAGGACATCTTTATATATCTACATTTTACGATACATATATAGTTACAAACGCGACCTTCTTATAGCCAACACCGAATTTTGTACTTTTACAGTGGCTTAGTCCACTGTTCGCTGTGGACTAAATATTTCGATGTTTTTGACTTGAGTCTTTTATATTAATTTAGAAAAAATTGCCAACCGATAACTTATAAACGGACGATCGAAATTATTATAAGTCGGCTGTTCATTGTCATATCCATTGTGGTCTTTGGCGGCTGCACATTGAATCACTCAAGAATAAAAATCCGGTCAAAAATACATAAAAAGTATTTATTGCAATTTAAAATAAACGAATGTCAATAACCTTGTCTTTGTTTAAAAAGAAATATGAAACCAAATCGAACGGCTCCGAGTATCTGCAAATAACGGCATGTCGGTTGAATTCTGTTGATGGGAAATCAATACTTTTCTATTGTAATATGTGTTTTGTAGCCTGCTTTAATATTAATATTTAGATAATTGATGAAAAAATCTATGGAGAGATCGGAATAACGGATTCATTACTTACTATACAAGTATACAAGCGGTGGTGTTTCGGAGGCGGGAGAGCAATGAGTCTAATCTACATCTAATCTTTGGTTTATCATTGTATACTCAATTCCATTAACATTTGGAAATAGTTAGTGAGGTACAGGAAGGTTTTGTTCCCTACTTCGAAACACATCCGCGGTATGAACTCAACTTAACACGGGTAACAAAACAATCGCTAACGTAACGTGACAAAACTATGCTCGTTCACGAACAAGCCCTGCGGCGACTGCGCTTAAGTGCCGTCGAGACGCAATCCGAGGAAACTGAACCCGGGCTATTGTCGCGTGGGGGGTGGCTGTGTGGTGACACCTTAGTGTCCGGAATAGGGGAATTTGGAACATAAAACCGGTATCGATAAAAAGGTATAGAGGCTGCGGTATTATCCTATGTGTCGATGTCTCGAGGGCTTCCATGTATCACGACTAACCTGAACGCAATTCTAAGCACACCAGTCGACGCCTGGTCCATCCTAAACTGAGGTACTCTTATATTACCGTAATAGTTCAAATGGTTACAAATTAAACGATAACAAAGTGTAATTACCAAATGAAAAATGCTTACACTCGCTTAGCTAGAGCTGGCCGGCCGCAAAGCGCGGGGATCACATAAACTTAGGATGGTATAACTTTATGACAACGCAACACATCGTCGAAAAACCCGTTTTATTTAATTATTGTGCCTTAATTGAATACCGTTAGCGCTAAGATAGTTTACATTGTTAATCTTCTGTAATAAAATTATGTGATATTATATTTACACATGATTATACATCTCTGTACACTATCCTATATTATAAGTCTATCGTGACAAGCGAAAAATATTGATTAACTCGTTCTGTCAAACTGAGGATGTAAACTTAAGGTTTGTTGCCGCGTTGCTGAGAGGCCGGCCGGCGACTACATGTAATAACAAATACACCGAGATATGGACGACGGGATCTCGACATTGGCTTCACTTTCCACCTACAACCTACCACCTTTCACCTACACTTCCACCTTTAAACTTAAAAACGACCGGCCAATGGTGAGATCTCGTCTACCACGCTACATATATCTACGAATGAAACTAATTATTCTTCTATAGTATAATAGTAAGTGTATGTATACTAAGGATGATCGATGTTTGAAAATTACCGATTTTTATATATCGATATTAATTGGAGACAGAATATCGATGATGCTAACATCGATGTTCGCAATATTGTACAATAAGTAGAACGATTATTCAAAAGTTGAATGTCATTCTGATTTGATTATGTAGTGTTGTGTTACATCGATATTAGAATATCGATAAATGTCAAGATTGATAAGCATCGATCATCCTTAATGTAACTGGCTGTTAGATACGGCGAAAGGTAACGCGTGGGTATGGGCGTGCGCAGACGTCACGCGGCGAGCTTGGGGCGGACGTTACTATTGAGGGCCCTATGTAAATTTTAATTTTCACGTAAAAAATCAACATATTTTTCGAAGGCACTTCTGATCGGACGAGGTGGCCCCGTGTTTCATGAGTTTGTAGCCAAATGTTTTGTAGTTTAGTGTGCGTACTGCTGTTTCTGGTTTATTGATGAATTGCCTTCAACTATTGTGTTTGCTTGTGTGTATGTTGGTGTGTGTGGGAGCCGCGTGACGTCAGCGTGCGAAACGATAGTCCCCGGCCGATGTTGCCAGTATGAAAAATTCCCGACAAAAACTTTTCGTTTGTAATTTGTATCCTGTATTAATATAGTAAAAAGTATCCTATAGTTAAATGTAATAGTTAAATAAGAATTGATATATGCAATAGGAATAATTTGTTTGTGAAAGACGGCGACTACCGCTTCGCAGTAGCACGGGTGTCAAAATGTCTGCAGCGTCCATAACTGCACAACTTACCCACGCGTTACTTCGGAATACAGTATTTTATCTAACAAATAAACTTAACCCTATGTCCGGAACGAGCAGGCTCGCGCGCGCTCCGGACAAAATGAAATCTTTCTGCCGAACTCTGCCGAAACTTTGTAAATACAAACAAGGATGTTTACAATAATCACAAATAAAGATGTTTACAGCTTTTGGAATTTTGATATCTGTTCAAACTTTTATTTCTATTGAAAAATCCTGCACGAACTTATAACCGGCTATCAGTATAAAAATAATGTTTAAAATCTTTGTTTGTGGATCGAAAAATAACCCTGCTCTATTGTACTAACGGCTATGGTTAATGTTAATTATTCCTAAAATAATTATGACGAGGTAAAGGTTGACAATTTTACGGCCACACGAGGCGTGCCAACGAACATAAAATATTAAAAGGAAATCGTAAAAAAAAAGCATAAGGTCGAAAGGACAAGGATATATAGGTGATAAACTCAAATAAAAACAACAAAACATTTAAAACTTAAGCAGTTAATATATTAATCGATTTTTGTTTTCCTTAAAGAATAAATCAATAAATGATTTTAAGATATACAACTATAAAAACCATTTTAAGATAATACTTAATAATATAATAATTATATATAGCGAAATATATTATGTGCAGAAATAAAATTCTAGGTGACTTAAAATTTTCTCTTACTCGTTATAACCTAATGAATTTCCTAGTGGAGCGCCGCACGACCTCAACGTACAAACTTTTTTTTATAATTTAAATTTAATATTTTATTTTTTCTTTATCGATAATTTTGATTCTGAAGGCCTAAATGCGAGTGTCGTAAAAATTTTGTTGTGCTAAACAATAATATTCCAATCTTTTATTTTAGATTTCCAAAAAAATTCGTTGGTCGTAAGCGTTTGCGCCGTTGCTGAGGCGGCATTCACTCGAGTTGTTCGAGAAAGTTCGGCGACTTGAAGTACTCAGGCACGGGATCATCAAGGCGAGAGATCACCTTGTATATAGACTTCTTCCAGCTCTGCTCCGTGTCTTTGCCGCCCTGGATCGCGCGGAAGAATTCCCGTAACGTTTGCTCCACCACGTATCTAAAGTTAGGGGGAACCTGTAACACAAATAATACCTTCCTTAGACTATATTTCTTCGTATAAAGCTAACGTACATCCCTATTTTCACAACGATCTAATAAAAAAAACTAATACACAACACTAGTCGATTAGGGTAAACGAGATACTAACGGTCGCTTAATTTTGAACATTAAAAAAACTAACATTGCTCACCTCAATGTGGTTGTTTCTGTTGTAGTGGAGATTAAGCACCCTGTAGAGCTCTGAGTCACCGGCCACGTGCAAATCATCGGCCGCCTTCAGGCCCTCGCTGATCGCCTGCCGTGCGTACTTCTCCATCTGGATGTAGTAGAACTCTCTGGAAAGAAAAACGCTACTGTTAAAGACTGTACATGTGTTGTCTCCAGCTGTATGTAATTGAACACCCTCAATAAAAATGTTATGTTAGAAAACTGATATGAATTTTATATATCTACAGGCTGTTCTTTTTCCCAATACTAAAAAATTAACAAATACGTTAACGATTTAATTTGTCATAAGGATATTTATTTTTGGATGAAATATTGGAAAGAGTGTGGTCATATAATTTATTTTTCGTGCGAGGGATGATTTAAATTAGTTAGTAAATAAAATTTTAAGTTATCAAAGAATTGTCGCTTGCTTTCAAACTATAAATCTAGCTCTACGAAATATATAATGTTTTTATTTACGCCTAACCTAATGTCTAATTGCCTGTTATGCACCCTTATCAAAATAAGCGTGAAATGCGTGAACCTTATTGAAAAGTTACCAACGTTTATATTTTAAAACGATCAATTAACTTAATTACCTACACAAAATGTCAATATAATGTTCATTATGTTTTAATAAAATCAATATAATAATACCTCGATTTAACATAAATAGCTCTTATTTCATAATATTATCCTGGAGTAAAATCTCTATTGGTATTTTTATTACATTGCCTAATTTGTGAAGCAAAATGACGTAATATTACGTAGTATTTCCCGAGAAGGTTAACTTTCCTTGTTATTAAATTGGGATTTGTGTTTTTTTTGAGATTACAATGACGCGTGTAACTAGTCAATAGGCAGTATAGAGCATATGAAACAGCCTTGCATTTATGATTTTTGTTTAAATTACGAGGTCCTGAATACTTTTGTGGATCTTTATCATTGATTTTATAAGAAGAAAGGATTTAAGTGCTTGTCTACACCTTGTTTAGTAACGTTACACATTTAAATAGGGGGAGGTACAGAAATGTGATTAAAAGTAGATTAATCTGTGGGTTAGAGGTGGCGCGTTGCATAACGAACTCAATAAACATATTGACATTTCCGATAGGCGCGGGTGACACTCAACGTCACAATGGCAAACATAAAAAGCACTCGGGCGCTGGAGGGCGCGGGCGGGAAAGGATTTGATTAGCCATTTTCGCTCACTCCGCTACTCCGCCTGGCGTTTCGCATCGGCGCGCGATCTTCGCTCCGCATGGCTTCGCGCACGAGTGCGGCCGGATCGAGAGTCTCGCGGGGCTAATTACTTACGAGTTCGCATTCAGACGGGCTAATTCAGTTTTTCGCGTTTCCGACGGCGACGCGTCGGAATCGACGAGAATTGTTGCAGTTCTTTTAGGGTTCGTTATGATTGCCTTTACCTTTTTTTAATACACATCTCGATGCGAAAAAAAAGTTGTCAAGTGGTAACAGCGTGTATGAGTCTGAAGATGCTTTATTAAAAATCTGTCATAAAAATACGTTGGTTTTTATTTAATCAACATTGTGATAGTTGCTTAGCCATCCATCAGTATAGCGAAGTACGTATGTACTCAAATGCGAAGTAATGTTATATTGAAAGAATAGAAGACGAACATATTCAATCACTCGAACATACGTAAATTTACCCGAGTTATTTTCCTCGACTTTAAATTAGCGGGAATTATTACCTTGATGGGGTTTTACTTTAAAATTTCAATATCCAAGAATACGGTAAAATTCTAAATATTTACTTTCAATGCACATTTACAATCGAAACGTTAACCGCGCACAAAAAACAATATACCATAAAAATGGCGATAAAAAAACGCTCGTTTCTTTTTTTTAAATCTTTACACAAAATTCCGCGGAAGTGGCAATCATGTAACAGGCAGCTATCAATCGGGGATCATGTCTAAGCCACTCGCGCGAGCGGTGCCACTCCACCCTCTCGCTCGCACGCCGGAGCCTCTATTATTTTTTAATTGGCACTCGGCGCGAGATCGCAGCCTTACTAATTGACTAAGTAAATGAAGTGACTAAATAATTAGATGTCTTTTTAGCTAGTGCGAGAGTCGACGCCGCACCGCGCACCGTACAAATACGACGCCTTCATCCAATTAAAACTCGTCCGATTACATATGTACTGCATTGTATATAAGGAATGTGTTATTGAACGATACTTGCCAAGAATTTGCTTACCACCTACATGTTTTATAATAAAATAGTGTTGTGCTATAAAAGTATTAACACGTCAAGTTTAAGAACATTTTTTATTTGATGATGATTTGTAAAGATTTGGCTCACGAGGTTACCGCCATGTGGCATATGAAATCGACTACCATTATTCCGATAGTCGTATCGGTAAATGGACTGATAGCGAAGAGCTTCGACCAACGTCTCAAGAAGCCCTCGCTACACACTTGGATTAAGGGCCCGATACAAAAGGCAATTATCCTAGAAACCGCGCGCATCGTGAGAAGGTTCCTGTCTCTGCAGCCTGACCACTGGTTGTTTGAGTCATGGGATTCCGCAGCCGATGGTGGTGGTTTTTAATATAATATGTTTTGTATATATGTATTTTTTGGATATGAAATGTACTATACTCGTATTAAAAATGTGATAAATAAATGTATGTTTGATAAGACTTAGTAAAGATTTCAATTATGACATGATAACAAATTAATAAAATGTTTAATTAATTTTCAACTCAATTACCTTATGATGGTATACATAAGGATAATAACGATCTACCCACGGTCTAAAAATATATCTCTAGGCGCTTACGAAAGCGTCAGTTAACTCATTAATTGCTGATAACTTACACCAGATGGCGCTATACTGAGACCGATTAGTGCTGGCTCAAGTGTCAAGCCATTAAGGGTCTTTAAGATATTAAATATATAATTTCATATTATCAATACGTGTGAAGCTGCACCATTAATAGTTAAGAAATTATTATTTTAATTTTTTTATAACATAAGGTGGCAAACGAGCGAGCGACCGTTGCCCATAGACATACGCAGTTGCATATGTGTTGCCTACCTTTCATCGACGGAGGAGAGGATGCACAGAAAGAAAATATATTCCCTTTCCATGCATCCTCTCATCCGGAAAGGCCACTTCCGCTTCCCATCCTTTTCTTATAAGAAAAGGGTGGGAAGGGAAAGAGGACTAAATTAGGCCTCCGGGACGCAGACGAAACGCGGAATAGCTTCCACTTCACGCCTGTCTTCTGTGTGGTCGTGGTATTTCACCGGGCGAGTCGGGACAATTCGTGCGAAGATGTTAAAACGGGCTCTACCACTGTTAAATGTATCATCTTATAAAATTTAATATCTCATGATAATTTAGACTCGTTTGAATTTCAAGTGTCGAGTTGAATCGTTCTGTTTTTGTCTTGACTAAGATTGGATGTAATTCATAAGCTTAAAATTAGTTTAATGCTTATAAGGGAAGGATGGGAAGAGGGAGAGATTTGACAGAGCAGGGGACGCACAGGAAAGTGAAATGGATATTTCTACGCGTCCCTACGATTAATTGCGAATGTCTATAGCGGTCGCTTCACTATTTCAGCGAGTTAAGGTGCTCGTGATATGATTTTAAAGATTTTTTTTTAATTAATTTTCACTTTTCATAACGTTTCGATTCTAGTGTAGATAAGCTTGTAGATAGGTTGTGCTAGTTTTTTCTTGGGCGTTTCTTTTTTGCAGCGACCCGCATGGCACGTGGACGGAGCACGCTGATTGCTTACAAATTACGTCGCTTTTGTGCGACAAAATAAGAAAAGTGGAACAACAATACCCGATATTGCCTCACACTTTAATGAATCTTAACTATAGATGTCGCTACTTTAAATGCACGAAGGGTAAATTAATAACTTGATTTATTCCTTATTTAGCAATTGCCTGTGATTTCGTTCGCGCGAAATTCAGGTAAAAATCTAGTAATAAATACGGCTTATATCAATCGGGCATAAGGTATCTTACCAACTGTAAAGGAATTTTTCAAATCAGTTTGGAGCAAATCTTTCCTCTTTATAATTTATAGGGACTAAAATTAAGCTACTGCTATGTATGAAAGTCAAAGTAGGAATATTGTATATTCATACTTAATCTGCAGCTATGGTAAAAATAATTTGAAATAGATGCAATAAAAACCGTTATAGTGGGAATCAGCTGTTGCCAATGTCCCAACGTACACCTTAACGTATTTATTTCGTGTCACACGAAAAGAAACTCTACGCTAATAAATTTAAATGTAAGATTACTTTACAGTCTATTTATAAAAAAAAATAGCATTGTATTGCATATTATTGGATATTAACATTTATGATTTAGGAAATAAGGATTAAAATCGTATGTAAATAAGCAGCATTGTTTTCTATTCTTAAGATTTCGCATCTTGCGTCTACCTGGGCCCAACGTCTTGGATGTCATTGTTTGGGAGCGGTTGCAGTTTTTGCCGGTTCTTACGGTCTGACGGCAAAGTTCGCACAATACCGCGGTGCGGTGGATTGTGAGATTGTAAGCGACGTTTCTTCCGCAACTCTACAGCGTATTGTTTTAAGGACAATATAAATTAAGAAAAGTTAAGCGATGAAAATACTTATTGTTACATCTTCTGAGATTTTAAAACTATTTAGCATCGTCTAGGTTGCTAAAGAAATTAAAAATTCAGCTTTCAGATAAAAGGGACAGCGATTTTAGTATTTTTTAGCTTTTTAAATGCTTTTTCCGAAGCAACATTCCGACGTAGAAATGATCATGAAATCGTATCTTCATCCTTGTCATTATTTTACAAAACAGAGATAAAAGCATGTTTTAAACGGATATTTTGGTCTCAGAAACCCACAGTTTATAATTAGATATTGTTTCTCATAAACAGGAACACAGTAATGATTGCACACTTCCTTTTGGTGGCAGAGATTATCGTGTAGTTGTCCTTCTGGGGTTTTATTTTATCTGTATTTAATATTATTGTATTATAACTGAAAATATTTTTCTTAGTACTAGTAATAACAAAATTAAACATTCGCTATATTAAAGGCAATTTATTTTACTCTGTGACCATAATTGTTAAGAAATTAAGTACAAAAGGGAGT